CCCCCACAGTCAGTATGCACAGCCAGCTGTTGACCGTGCTTCCCAGTGCGCGCCCCGGGGTGGGATGCTAGAAGCTGTTCAGTTAAACCGGGAGCCTTGGACAGGGAGTCAGGAGACCCAGGCTCAGCACTCACCTGGCTGCTGAGTAACTGGCTGCTCATCCATGCAGGTCTCACCTCGCCTCTCTGGAGCTATTTTCTCACCCATATTAGTAACAATAACTAACACTTACCACTGTGCCAGGACCTGATGATGTTACAGATTCAGGCCTTTGCTCCTTCCAATAGTCTGTGAGGTGGATACAGTAATTCACAGATAAACAAGTATAACTGAGGACACTCAGAGAGGCTGAAGTACCGTGTTCAAGGTCATTAGCTGGGAGGTGAGAGTTGACCCCAGAACTTCTAGCGGCTGTGCATGCCGCTTCAGTTGGGGCAGGAAAACATATATTGGCTCGCTAGGGCCCTATGACAAGTTCCCGTGACATGCAGTGGCACCAAGCAGTCATCGTGGCTCAGAGTGTCTGGGGTCAGGAGCCAGGGAGCGGGTTCATCGAAGGCGTCCAGCCCGGATTCTCTCATGAGGCTGCAGTCTCGGTGTCGGCCAGGGCTGTGGCCATGTGAAGGCCACACTGGGGCCGGAGGCGCTGCCTCCAAGACAGTGCCCTCACATGGAGCCGGTGGTGGGCCAGGGCCTTGGCTTCTCACGGTGGGCAGGGGGCGGGGGGGACACACACGCTCTCAGGCTGAGGAGTGACTCCAGCTCTGCCCGTCACTGCACTCGACCTTTTTCTCTGTGTCTCTGTCTTCTTTTCTGTCTCTAAGGAGGACACTTGTCCTTGGAAGTAGGACCCACCTTAATCCAAGGTGGTCTCATCTCAAAATCTGTATCTTAACTGTATCTGCAAAGACCCTCATTCCAAATAAAGGCACATTCTGGGATTCCAGGGGAACATCTCTTTCTGGGGGGAAGTGAGAGACACGGTTTGACACATGGAACCTCCCAACCGACTCCTGTTCTTTATTGCTGTGCAACAGACGACCCCAAGACTTGGTGACTTCAAACCGCAATCCCTGTCTTCTTATCTCTCATAGGATCTGTGAGTGAGGAGTTCAGGAGGGACGTGGCCGAGAAGCCCTGGCTCCCAGTCTTCCGCACAGTTGCAGCCAGCCCTGGGTGGTGCCGGTGCCACCAGGAGCTGAGGCAGCTGGACACTGGGCAAGCAGCTTTCTCTCCTCCTGTGGCCTCCCCCTGTGGGCTGGCTGGGCTTCCTCGTGGCCTGGCAGCCTGGGCAGGGGGGGGTCAGACCACTTCTTGGAGCACAAGGCAAAGAGCTAGCATTTTGTGATCTAGCTTCCGGAATCAGTGAGGGCCACCTCTACTGCTCTATCATTCAAGGCCGCCACCCAGCCCTGCCCTCCCCGCAGGTGCACCACCCACGGCTTCTCTGCAACAGTGCATCTCCCGTTACAGATGCAGAGACACGGGCCCAGCGAGGGAAGTAATGGCCGAGTCACTGGCACTAAGGGCAGAGCCACGCCTGAACCCAGGAAGGCGACCTCAGGGCCCATCACTATAACATGTACTCAGCGCCTATGGGTGGTTTCTCTTCCCCAGCTCTCCTTCACCCCAGGAAAATGGGCCTGACTGAGCCCCAGACCGCTGTCCAGGATGTTCAGGGACAATCGGGATCCAGTGTGGATGTGAGGGAGGCCTGGGGACGGGTAGCCAGGTGACCTGGTGTCCGGCCTGGCTCTGCCACAGCTGTTGGTGTGGCCCTTCTGCAGTTTCCTGTTCTATAACGGAAGGATCCATGCCCGCCCCGTCGCCTCCTGGTTGTCACAGGTGAAATGAGGCTCAGTGTGTTCGAGTGCTGGCCAAGATGGTCAGTGCTGTTCAGATAACAGGCATCGTGTGTCCCTCCGAGTTGCTCAGAAGCCGCAAGCATCCTAGCTGCTTTGCAGATTTTTTAAATTTTAATTTAAAGCTACCAACCCCAGAAGGAGGAGCACCTCCCAGCAGCGCTGCCCTGAAGCCAAGGCTGGTTCCCCGGGAGACCAGGGGCCAAGTCGTTAATGTGGGACCATGGGCTTTGGAGCCTGGAGTGGCCAGAATAAGACTGGGGAAGGGACGAATCTTCCAGGGGACTCCTGTCATCCAGGACTATGTAAACAAAGTGCCCCCCAACTCAGTACTTCACGAGATAATTCATTTGTATCTCTTAGTTGCACGGGTCGGCGGGGCTCAGCGGCCAGTTCTGCCTCAGCAGCTGGGGTGGGTCTCCACACAGCTGCAGTCAGAGAGCAGCTGGGGCTGTGGTCGGCTCCTCTGAAGGCCCCACTGGGCGGCAGGTCCCTGGTGGCAGCTCAGGCCTCCTCCACGTGGCCCCTCCTCTCCAGCAGTGTGGCCCCATCTTCGTAAGCGGCAGCCCTGGCCTCCAAGAGCAGGTGAAATGGCCAGCGTCCCAGGGCTGGGTGCGGATGTTCAACATATGGCTCAACATCCTTCGTCTGTATTGTGTTGGCCGAAGGGTCACAAGGCAGCCCAGATACCAGGGGCAGGAGGAGTGGACTCAGCCTGTCAGTGGGCCGGGGGCACATACCTGCAAAGAAGGCAGGAACTGGCGGCCGCCGCCTTCGGAGACAAGCTATGACGCACAGCAAGGGACAGTCCCCACTCCTCAGGCTCCTGAGCTGCCCAGCTTAGAAAAGCTGTGGCTATGACGACACAGGGGGCCTGGCTTTGGCAGAAGCGTGGGGACAGGAAGAAACTCCTCCATGGAAAAGCCACTGGGCAGCCTTAGCCCCCACCCCCGTCTGCCAGGTGCTGTCGCCCTTCCCTGATGATGGGAACAGGCTCGGCACAAGCCCTGGGGCTCCAAGGTCAGGGGCGAGATACACCTACAGGTGGCCACCATCCAGCCTGGCCTCGCTCCCACGTCCTGACCGCAGCTCCGACCAGGCAGTCGGATGGCTCTGTGGGAGTGGGCCTGACTGTCCGCCGGGCAGCCTGGGCCGTGCATGCGCAGCCCCAGTGGGGGTGGGGTGGGGGGAGGGCAGCCAGAGTGGGAGAGGGAAGCCAAGCAGACAGGCCTTGCATGGACTTGGCTATCGCTCTTTAATAAAGAACTTGTTGCAGCCCGCTTATTTGCAGTTCCCAGGCACAGAGGAGACAGAGCCTTGCCCAGCCAGTCCACCGGGGCCCCACCCCCACCCCAGTCCTGGCTCCTGGGCTGTGACTTCACCTAGATTTGCACTGTGCTCCCCGGCTTTCTAAGCCAACCCTGGCCCACCGGCTGATGTCTCCCTTCGTGGGTCCTTGCCCTGCTCATTCTCTCCCACGGCGTCACTGGGGTCCTCACCAGGGACACTGGGGACCACCCTCGAAAGCTCACATGGGTGTACTAAGCTCCTGTGGCTGCTGTGACAAAGAACCACAAACAGGGCGGCCCCGAAGAGCAGAAATGCCTTCCCTCACAGCTCTGGAGGCCTGGAGTCCAAATTCGGGTGTCGGCAGGGCGGGTCCTCCTGAGGGCCCTTAAGTGGGGGGCCCTTGCATTCCTGTCTCCCAGCTTCTGGCCCCCAATAGTCCTGTAGACACCTCACTCCAGTCTCTGTCCCCACCTTCGCATGGCCTTCCTCTCTGTGTCACCAGGGACCCTTTGTGGTTCTTAATAGGGACACTCATTTGTTTTAGGACTCAATCTTAATGCAGTGGGGTCTTACCTCCACCCTGACCTACTTAGAGCTGTAAAGACCCTATTTCCAAATAAGGTCACATTTGGAAATTCCAGGTGGAGATACATGAGTGATTCACACCATTCAACCCAGTACATGGGAGCGTGGGATGTTCCCCCAACAATTTCCAAAGAATCCTTCCACCCAGGACTGTCAGCTTTGCCAGGACTGACCGGCAGCCGTTGTGCAAGAGACTGGCCCCTGGTGAGCGCAGTGTGGCTCAGACCACAGCACGCTCCCTCTCCGGAAAGTGAAAACAGTCACTCCAGTGGGCTGCCCCTCGGCCCCGTCTGCAGAGGCAGCCTAGGCGAGAATGGGAGGTTGCCCACTCCCATTCTTTTCTTCTTGGATATCTTCTACACGTGCTCTAATTCCTGCTTTTAGACAAAAGCAGATCTGTGTGCCCTGGAGCAAGCAATTGCTTCTCTGAGTCTTAGTTTCCCCGCCTGTAACACGGGGTAGCTCGGAGGGTTCCTCTGAGTATCAGATAAAGTCTGACTCAGCAGTTCCTAGCACAGGTCTGACGCAGGCAAGGCGCCCAGTGAGGGAGCCGCCGGCCCCAGTCACAGGCCCGGTCCTGCCCGTTTATATTAGGTCTGGTGTTAAATGCTTTCCATGGGTTATCTGATCTGAACCTTAGGGCTCCAGGAACCAAGTACTATTTTTATTTCCGTTTTGTGAAACAAGGAAACTAAAGCTTGGAGAGATTATGTAACTTGTTCAAGGTCATTCGGACAGTATGTGGCAGCAACTCTGAGACTTGAACCTAGTTTTACCCACTGTGGCCAGTCCTAAGCCCAAGACCATGTGGATAAGAATGAAACTCTCTCTACTCCTGGGCCCAGATCTCTAGGCTCACGTACCCTCCAGGAGATATTCCTTGTTCATCTCTAAGTGGCCACAGATGTGTTCACTGGGGAGGTATCTGTTTAGGTTTAACTATATTGGCCGAAGGTGGAGTGAGTTTCAGGGGTGGGCTGGGGGTGCTTGGGTCAGCAAATATCAGCTTCATCTCCCCCCAGACAAACTCTCTGCCTCTCTGCTGTGGTGCCAGCCAGGCTCTCGGGGAACCCGAGATGGTTACTGCAGGCCCACAGGAGTTTAGTGAGGACGGCCCATCCTTAGGATGCTCAGACCTGCCCTAGCAGGGCCAGCAAACGACACTCCACAGGCCAAGCCTGGCCCACCGCTTGTTTTTATAAATAAAGTTTTATTAGCACAGAGCCGCGCCCATTTATTGATGTATTGCCTGTCTGCTTTCAGCTGCAGCGGTGTCATTGAGCAGTGGTGATGACCTCTGGCCAGGAAGTTGAAGGTCTTTGCTATCTGGCTTTTCACAGAAACTGCTGACCCGTGAATTAGAGCGAGTCTTCAGGCTGCTGTCTGCACCAGATGAGTTCTGGCTGGGCCGATACGGGAGGGAGGCGCTTGTGTTCAGAGTAAGAGGCAGTCTGTTGGCTGGCTGGGCTGGTGTCTTCCCCAACCTGGTGGGCTGGACTTGTTCACAACGAGAATGGGTGGGGGTTGGAAGTGGGGCTGATCACTGGGCGTTCTCTTCTCCTGCCCTGAGTCTCACTGGCCACGGAGCAGCAGCAGAGAATGCAGCAGGGAACACGGTTGCCCTCTGTCCCCCAGGCCCCTGGTGCCTCGGGAGGACAGGACAGAACTCGTTCCCAGTACTCGAGGAATTCCCTCCGCACACACCCAAAGGTGACTGCACAGCCCGGGGCAGGAGGTGGATTCCAGAGCCACTGTAACCTGAGCTCAGCGGCTGGAGCGAGTTGGTTTGTGTGGCTGGCTGAAGGGGCCTGGGGTCCTTGCTACCCCTGCCTCTCTCCTCCTCTCAAGGAGGTGTCCTGGGGACTTTGCCTCAGTCGGTGGGACTCTCTCCATCAGGAGCAACGGTGCTCTCCTCAAGTGGTTTCTTTCTTTGTGTCTGGAGTATCCTGGGTTCTCCAAAACCCAGGCACCTCCAACTCCTTCCCAGACCTGGGAGGGGCTGTGAGGGCTCGTCCTGGCAGACTCCAGCCACTCAGGGAAAGCAGCGCCCCCGCCCCCCATGAGAAGAGCTGTGAACAGCAAGTAAACAAGCGTGCGTGCACACGGCCCTGTGCCTCCCTGCTGCCCGCTGCCCGTGAAGGTGTGCCAGCCCCCGGCTGTGCCCTTGGGCACTGCAGGCAGCTGGCCCAGGCTGGCCTCTGCGTCTGCTGAGCCATCAGCACACCCAGAAGCCCAGCGGCCCGCTGGCTCTTGGGGAGGGTAGCATCTGCGCTGGCCCCTCACTCTGCTGGGCTGCTATCCCAACGACTGATTTTTTTCCCCCAACGATTGATTTTTTACTTTATTTTATTTTTTCCCAGTGATTGATTTTTAAAAATGTGTTCTGTGCTGACTCCGTTCTGTTCTACAGGGTTCCTCCCTCTGGCACCGAGGCTCCTGCCTGCTGGCTGGTGCGGCCAGAGAGCCCGGGAAAAACATATGTCGCCCACTGGGGGGCTTGGAGCAAGAAGGGAGGAGCTGTGGCCACGGCCAATGAGGCGTCCACCTGCCCTTTCTCCCACCTCCCCTGGAGCCCAGGTCCTCATCCTAGCTGATGTCACTGCCCCCTTCTCAGACCAAAAGTGTCCACGCTGGGCCAAGTGACCCACACGGGGATACAGAATAGAAGCCTGCAGCCTTGGAGGGCTGGACGCCTCTGAGGACCACAAAACACTTGATTCCACTAACATGTTTAGTCACTGTGAACATTTACACATTTTTTAAATCACAAAAGGAATTCTCAGTCATTTAAAGATTTGGAAGCAAACCAGAGTTATTTGAAGACGAAGAGTAAGATGCCCTCTCACTCCACTCCCCCGCCACATACCCCATTCTGTTCCCTGAAGAACTCCAGCCACTGGGCTGGAGCGTTCTAGATGTTTCTGTGCCTGATCATGTGAGTCTCGCCACGATTCACGAGGTGGGCAGCTCAGCAGCGTGGTGGCCAGATGGGGGTTTGGGATGTCAAATTCTTCGCCCCAAGTCTAGCAGCAAGAATTGAGGACCTGGGCATGCTGAGGTGGAAGGTCATGAGGCCTGCAGTTCCAGGAAGGAGCCCAGTGTAGGGAGGGCCCTGGTAGGACCAGAGGGACCAGCAGAACCCACTGCGTTCCTACTGGGAGCTCCGCTTTGGTGCTGGACCACAGCCTCGTCTGTTCCTGAAACCAGAGAACGGGAGGGCGATGTCTTCAGACCCAGCAGTCACAGGACAAGACAAGATGAATTCCCACTCCACATATAATGCTTTAGAAAACATTATAGGTGAAGTGTCTGGCAAGCGATTTGGCCCAGTGAAAAACATGTTTTCAACAGGTAAGAATTCCCTTGCAGGATATGTCAGAAGGCTGTGGATATTTTGCTGTCAAAGAGTGAACACAACTTGGTCTTGCTACTTGGTGGAGGACACTCGTTAGTCTATGAATCTTTTTGCAAACACTTATCAACTCTGTAAAAGCAAGCAAATTTGCACTCTTTACACTCCGCAGGAAAGGTACAAAGTATTCTCCCCAGGAAGCAGATGAATGGCTGTTTTGAGTTTTTCTATAAAATCAGCGTTTCTTCTTCTCTCACAGCCTACCCAAAGCCGATCTGAGTGTCAGAGTCCTACTCAGAACGAGACCGGGCCACTGTGCATCGGTACCTCGTGCTGTGAGAAGGGATGTACGCTCACCTTTATCCACAGTTTCAGTCCGGGCGCTCCTAAAATCCTTGTAGTAGGAGTCCCAAGTGATAGGAGAGACTTCTGATGCTCATAGCAAGCCCTGGAGTTTGGGGTGACTTGAGTAGGGTCCCTGCCCAGCCTCTGGACGGGGCTGGTCACCAGGAAGACCAAGTGATGAGAAGGCTGGAGGGAGCTTTCAGCCCATCGCCGGGGCAGTGCTGGCAATTACGCTGTTACAAACATTCTTGAACAACAAGTCTGAGGAGCTTCTGGGTTGGTGCCCTGCCCCCCTACCCCGTGCCTGGAGGATGGTGTGCCCCTCGTTCCACCAGGGCCGGAGCACCAGGAGGGTCCCAAACGCTTCCCCCAGGTGCGTTCTCTCTGCCTCTCTCTTCCTCCTAATCTCCAAGGACTCTCTTCTTTTCCTCCCATAACTTGTTTCCTGAGCCCATTTCTTCTACAGCTCACTTCTAACTCTGTGACTTTGTAAATGCACTTCCTCTTACAGTTTGAGGCTTGGCTTTGAATTCTTTGAGCCAGAACTCAAGCGCCGAGACTGCTGAACCCAAGTTTGGTCCGACTCCCCCGGGTCTAATGCCGGGTGCCGTTTTGCTGCTCTGTGTACCTCTTTGTAATACCCTTTGTAATAAACAGTGTTCTAGTAGGCAGATGATTTTGCTGGGTTCTGTGAGCTACTTTAGCAAATTAATCGAACCTGGGGACAGAGTCATGGGCACCTCTACCCACCACACGTGAGTAGCATTCTGTGCTTACGACAAAAATGCCTCCAGGCATTGCCAAGTGTCCCCGTGAGGGGCAAAATTGCCTCTGGTTGAGCCTCCCTGCCCAACAGAAATAAAACATTTTGTTCATGCAAAAACCTGGACACAGATGTTTACAGCAGCCCTATTCATAATCACCCCAAACTGCAGATGACCCAAAGCACTTCACAAACGAACGGACAAGCAGAGTGTGGTACAGCCACACGGCAGAACGCTGCTCAGGAGAGAGTGGGACGGGCTGGTGACACAGGCAGCAGCCAGGATGACTCTCCGAGGCATTGGGAGAGGAGCCCATGAAGGGCACAGACTGTACAATGCCCTTTCTGTGACAGTCTCAAGGAGACGGACTACAGTGACAGAGAACACAGGGCAGCCCGGGGGTGGGACAAGGCTGTGGCTCCCCAAAGGGAGGCCTAAGGTGGGCTTTCAGGGCAGTGGGCCGGTTCTGCGCCCTGACTCGGTGGTGGCTACACACATCTAAACACTGAAAAAGGTACAAGTGAGTTTTACTATAGGTCAGTTTTTAAAAGATAAGAACAAGGAAGGGGAGACTGAAATTAGAAAGAAATGGGTTCTAATGATCAATATGCTCTTTATTTAATGGGTGACAGGCAGAAGGCACCTGTGTTGAACCCGGAAGAGGGCCTTCACCAGAAGGAAAGCGTAAGGCACCTTGATCTTGGACTTCCCAGGCTTCCAAATTGCAGGAATGCAGACATTGGGGTGAATTCCTCTCTCCACCCACCAAGCCATGGGTTCTATCCGCTCTTTTTCTTCACACAAAATACACGTCCTGTTAGCTACTGTGCCACGGAGCGGCCTTCCCCACCGTGCAGTCACCTTGAACTTGTCTGTCTAGAGCAAATATCCCTTTGTTCCTGCAAAGTGACCTTCCCCTGGGCCAAGACTTGCACGTCCTCCCTTTAACATTTGCCAAAAGGCCCTTGGGGCCGTGAAACTGTAAAGCCTGCAGGAAGGCCCAGAGACAGCTGGCAGCGAGTCAGCCCCCGCCCGCAGCCAGGGTCTCCAGGAGAAAGAGGGTCAGGCAGTTCCCAGGGCCGCACCTGGCTCTCGGATGGACTTTGAGGCACAGAAAACCCCCGACAGACACGACGTCCCACCGCCAGACTGCTGTCTGAAAGAGAAATACACTTCTATCCTATTAAAAAAACCCCACAAAAGGATGCTGGCCACACAAAGGCATAGCATTCAGACCTATCTAGTGGGAGAACAAAGGAAGACAAACTCCTTTATTTCTTCACTCTTCCCCTCCATCATCTATTTCTGGTTGGTTGTGATTTCCAAGGCAAACCCATCTTGGATATTTTCGTGGAGCAGCTGGTGGGGGGCTGTGGTGAGAAGGGGCAGAAGTGGGCTCCCGCTGGGGGAGGCACAGACGGCGCCTTCCTCTGCAGAATCTCGGGCCTCCTCTCTCCAGGCTGCTGGGGGCCAGTGCAGGCCCGGGAAGGGCCATCGGCAGGAATGAGAGAAGATGAGGAGAAGGACCGTCAGAGTGAATGCCCTGCATGCTGGTGCTGCGGAACAGGCAGGGGAGAGTGCAGAACACTTCTTTCTGACTCGGGCAAGGTCCTGGGAAAGCAGGCCTCCTGGGCAGGCAACTCGGGCCTGCAGGAAGCTGGGCCTGGGTGTTCTTCTAGGCTACCATTGTCTTGTTGCTTAGCTCATGGAATCCTCCCGACCACCCTCTGAGTGGGTGGCATTATTATTCTTGCTTTAGAGGTGAAGCGACTGAGTCGCTCATCTCCTGGGTGGAAATGAGGACATCTGTGACCCCAGCCCCTGGGGGCTTCTCCGGCCACGAGGTGAGGTGGCAAAAGACAAGACAGAGAGCCAGTGACCTGGACACACATCCTGGCTCAGCTGCTTGCTGTGGGACTTCTGAGAGATCTGTCTGCCTTTCTGAGCCCCCATTTCTTCAACTAAAAAAAAGGGTCTGCTCTGAGGATCGAACGTGGCGCTTTGTAGAAGATGGCGCGCCGTGTGACCGTGAGACGGAGCGACCGCTGCCCCTACCAACTCCTTCTGGCCTGGAACTTGCTCAGTCGGGGCCATCCCAGGCCCTCACTGAGGTCAAGTGCACACATTTTCAACTGTCCTTTTTTCAATGGGCAATATATGCACACAGTTCGAAAGTGTGAAGTTGCAGAAAGGAACACAACGAAAAGGCTTGCTCCCCTACAACCGATGAAACCAGTTTCCTGCATCTCCACCCGCCGAGACCTTCGGCACAGACACAACCAGACGAGCCAACGCGCTGGGTTTCTCTGCGTCTTTTTAACCGTGCACCGGCACGCCAGGCCACGCCCTCCTGGAGAACCGGAATCAGCCAGCGGCACAGCTGTTCCGCTCCTGCCTTGATTTTTTGTTTTCCCCGCTTTGCAATGTCTCTGAGACTGGTGGCCACAGCCAGACCTCTCCGGTTCCGAGTCTTTGTTCCTGCCCCGGGCGTACTGTGCATGTGGAATCGGTCCCTGGTGGAGGGCGCCTCCAATGCCTTGTCATTCGTATTAAAAAAAATGTCACTCAGGTCATTTCACAAATGTGCATGCACAGCTGGAGGCCACTTTTCCAGAAGTGGAATTGCTGGGTGGAAGAATTCGTGCACGTGGCAGATTTTGCCAAAGTGCCCTCCGTGGAGACTCTGTGGCTTTGCAGTCCTGCCTGCGTAGCAGGGCAGTGCCGTCCCCACCCTGGTCAGCGTGGGCGGTCGTCAAACCCTGGATCTTTGCCAATGCGCTCAGTGCACAGTGGAGTCTGGATGGTGTTTTTGTCCGACTGCTCTCATTCTTAGTGAGGCCGAGCGTCTATCTCCACAGTGCCCATCCCTATGGCTAGCTTGTTTCTGTCCTTACACTTGACCTTGCCCACTAGGCTAGGCCCAGGTCTAGCTTTGTGTTTCTATCTGCCAGCTTTGTGCTGACTCACTCTCAGGAAGGAAAGGGCAGAGGGCTCAAGTTATTTCTGTTCCCGGGAGCTGTCCCAGCCTCCAGCCCTGGGGATACCTTGGTCGGTCTCTGGCACTCCCTGTGGGCACCCAGCACTGGTCAAACTCAGGCTCTCGGGTCCCCCTGGAAGAAATGGGGGTGTGCAGGTGGGGGATCTGGTCAGACGTGATTGCAAATTAAGCGTGGAAAGGATTCAGCTGGAAGTAGAGCGGGAACACCTGCAAGGAGCTAAGGCGCAGTCAGCTATAAACGAAAACAGGAGGAACCAGGCCCAGCACCGGGGAGGAAGGATCTAAGTTGGTGGAAAGAACGTTGGTCAGGGAGGGTGGGGAGCCACAGGGAAGGGACTGGGGAAGCTGGGTAAAGATTCTTAGTGGAAGCCTCTACATGCATCTTGTAGGAGATGCACCCCCTCCTGGTTCCTCAGCTCATCGCCACCCCTTTAAGGTGAATGCTAAGAGCTGCCTGGATCGCGAGTAGAGAGACACCCCCTTGGCTGCCCATGGAGGATTCAGGCCACTCCCTGGACTAGCGAGAGGCGTGGAGAGGCCCGGAGAGGCCCAGAGAGGCCCAGTGACCCTCACTGACCTCTCCTAGTGGGGTCTCTGCACCCAGGGGCAGCCAGGCCAGGTTGCTGTCATTGCCCTAAGCGCTGTCCTGTGCATCCGGCTGAGTCTTGCTCCGGACGGAAGCCAGGAGGAGTCAGTGGCTGCATTCCTGGCCCCCGGGGAGTCTGCTGCCGTTATTTCCAGACTCAAACAAAAAGCAAATTTGCACTGAAAATTGCTGAGGCAGAGTCATCCTGGAGCCTTCGCAGCTTGGATTTTATGACCTCCGGGGCATCTGTGAGCCAGAGCAGAGCCCCAGGCCTGTTTTAGGCGGTGCTGCCGTCCACTCCAGCCTCTTCTCCCTGCTGGGCTGGGGTCCTGAGCTGTGTCCTTCAGCAGTGGTCAGTGGGGAGGGGCTACCTTGTATCTTGGGCCCCCTTCTGGTCCATTCCCCCATTGCTGCTGCTGGTGCCAGACTGGGCAGCCTTTCTGCTGTGAGCTTCTCACTAGGGCTACAGAGTCGCTTGTCCCCCACGCCTCGGCCTCCCTGGGGGAAAAGTACAAAAAGTTGAGGTTGTCCCTGAGGCCGCCAAGAGATGCTTAATTGCTTTCTGAGAGAATTGTCACCTCCTTCTGGTTTCCTCCAGCTCTCCATGACATTACCCTCCCCCTGCCCCTCCCCCCGCACCTCTTCCCCAGCTCCCAGAGGCTCCTGCTTAGAGTTGGAGCTAAGGATGAATGCTCCCTGGCCACACCCCAAAGTAACCAGGAGCCATGCACTGAATAGCAATTCGCGTCTCCAAATCTATTGCTGCACCACCTTCGCTGAAGAAAAGAGCCCTATGTGTGGGAGAAATAAGTGCGCATTTTTCTGTGGGCCAGGTGCTCGCCGACAGCGAGCGGAGAGATGGTGGCCCGGGCCAGCTGAGTCAGCCAGACTCTGGAGAGAGCAGACAGTGTGAACGAAGACAGGGAGGGCAGCCAGCAGGGCAGCGAAACGGGGAGATCTGGAAGCTTTCATCGCAGGAGTTCAGCCAGCACCTTGTGTGGCTTGTTGCAGGCTGAGGGCCAAGTAGAGGGATGCACATCATAAGGGCTGGGCTGAAAAGCGGTCACCAATAGACCCCAAAATGTAGAATGGTTCGAATGCCTTAGAAATCTATTTCTTACTCATAACACACCAACGCAGACGTTCTTGATTGGTTGGTGGCTTTCCTCCACGCGGTGACTCAGGGACTCAGGCTCTTTTTATCTTAGGGCTGTGCTGTCCCCCAGGGTCTCACTGTCATCTGCATCCCGCTGGCGGAAGAGGAGGGGAAGCGTGCCACACGCACACGCACACACTGCTTTGGCTCCGAATGTTTTCTGCTCACATTCTATTGGTG